TTGGAGACAGTTATCTCTGGGGGAAGATGATGGTTCTCTTTTCAGTAGGCCTTCCTTCTCTTTGAAACATGGAAAGGCAAGCCAGAGGTTTAATCTCATTGCACTGCAGAGGAGCATTCCCCTCAAGTTTCTTACCACCTCTGTTCGCTTTTCTCCAGCTTGGGAAGGGAGACAGTAAGACTTTTGTGAATTTTAGTTCCTCACCTTTTCCCTGCTTTCATCTCTCATGTAAAAGGCATGTGTAAAGCTCTGGTGTTTTCAATGTTTTTCCTTGGCCACAACTTTCAAAGATTATGCCAAGAGTTGTGTCCCTTCGTTTGAATGTTGCTTGTATGTACTTGGCCAACTTGAACTTACTGTTTCATTTCAATGTGGACAAAGGAGAGAAATGAATGTCTCAATACCTTACTACACATTTACAAAATAATAGTTGCTGGGCCGACCGAGTGGTGCATTGGTTAAGAGCTGGCTTGGGACACCAGCTCTGAGCAGCAGGGCCCCGGTTCCGAACCCACATGGGGGCCAGTGACACTGCGCCCTCTACAGCTAAGATGGTGAACAACACCTTGACCTGGAGCTGGGCTGCCTTGAGTCGCCGGCGATGGCATAGGCTGCAGTGGGGTTGCAGTGGGCTGCTGTGGGCTACCGTGAGTAGCCGGCATCCAGCGTGAGCCGCCGACACCTGGCATGAGCTGGCGTGTGCCACTGTGAGCGGCTGTCCAGTGGCCGGCGACTGATCTGCCTCAGCCAGGAAGAGCGCAATGACAATACCAACATGGGCCAGTGAAGCTACGTCCTCCACAACTAGACTGAAAAACAAAGGACAGCAACTTGTTTGTTCCCCTCTCCCAATTCCCCAATAAAATCTTAAAAAAAAAACCAGTTGCTAATATTATTTAAGCCATCAGCAGTAGATGGGAGTGGGTGTTCAGTATTCCAGTTTCATGTGAAGTCTAGGGCAATGCTCAGGTGTTTGGTATCTTGGAGAGAAACAAGTGCCTATTATAACTGGACATGAATTAAGGAATTGAGAAATTTGAATGAGGCAAATAAATGGTAGAGAGCTGGCCTTACTAAGGTTGAGGTGTAGATGAAAGATGGTGGTCAACATTTTACAGATACAGCTTGTTACAAATACTCTACAGCGAACTGTCAAAGTTTTCTGGGCAACCCATAAATAACTGAAGTTTGATTTTTTGATACCTTTATTTGGCTTTCTCAAGGATCAAATGCCCACATTCCCTCTTTGATAGTTATTAACTAATCAGGTTACCCCCTCCCTGCAAATGTGCAAAAAGATCAATTACTCCAAGACTGTGGTTTTTCTCCTCATTCGCACCCTCTTGTAAGCCTTGGTTTTGCTTCTGCTCTAAGAGTCAGTTTACCAGCTGATTCTCCCATGGGAGAAAATCATTCACATGAATGATAACGAAATTACATGCAAAATAAATAGTTTTCTCTGAGTTATTCTTTGACAGACCTACACTTCCCAATTGGGACTTATGGTGTAGCACTTAGGTCCAGTATCACACATGCACTTTTTCCATTTCCTCTTTTGCTGACTTCTGGTGCAGGCTATTAACACTTGTCTAATTAAAGCTCTTTCTTGGATCATCTGTAGCAACTTGTGGGATACAAAAGCAAAGTGTTTGCACTTGTTATTCCATCAGGTGAAGTGAAGGTGCTTTTTCAGGCTAATGAATACTGATCGTGCCAAATACCAGGTGGGAGATTTAGGTGGTTAGAGAAGAGTCCTGAGGTTAGAAAGGCATTTTTCACATAGTTGGTTACTAGGCGTTGAGATTCATAAAGCCTGGTGGCTCTTGTTTTCCTGCTGACCCAGCCCTAACCCCACTCAGTCAATCTGAATCTGTTTGATTTCTTTATTAGTCTGTGGGATGTGTGCCTCACAAAGTGTTCTGGAATCAAACTTGGGCAACCCTGCCTATGATTCTTCTTTTTGAGATTCACTCTGCATGTTAACTTTATGAAGTTTCCCAAAAGTCCTGCAGTAAAATGCCTGTTTAATTTGTTGAATCCAGTGGTTCCCCAACTTGCAATCCCACCTCACTCTCATGCCCCATCCCACTGCCCCCCAAATTCTTGATGTCTGGTGGGACAGTCTCGCAAAATCTGACCTACACTGACAGAAAGGACTTTATGTTCCCTTTAGCTCTGATTCCGGCTTCCCTTCAACCCTTGATACTTTTCTTTTTTTTTAATTAATAGTTTTATTGGAGTATAATATCAATATCATAAATTTTACCTATAATCTTTATAATTCATTGAACCCCAATTTCTTTTTTATTATTGTGGTGAGATACATATAAATAAAATTGACCATTTTAGCCACAACTCTATGACATTTAGTGTATTCACAGTGTTGTCAATCATCACTACTGTCTAGTTGTAGAACCTTGTCATCACCCCGAAAGGAAATCTTGTACCTATTATCAGGCACTTCTCCTCAAAGTCCCCCAGCCCCTGGCAACCACCAGTCTACTTTCTGTTTCTATGGACTTGATCACTCTAGGTAGGTCATGTTAGTGGAATCAGGTAGTAGTTGTCCTTTTGTAACTGGCTTATTTCACTCAGCATGATGTTCTCCAGGTTCATTCATATTGTAGCCTGTGAAAAAGGAAGAATTTCCTTCCTTTTTAAGGCTGGGTAACATTCCATTGTGTGGAGTGTGGATAGACCACATTCCATTCATTCATTCGTCTTTTGATGGACACTTGAGTTGCTTCCCTCTTTTGGCTATTGTGAATAATATTATGAACATGGGTGTTCAAATATTTGTTTGAGTCCCTGCTTTCATTTCTTTTGGATATATACTCAGAAATGGAATAACTCAATCATATGGTAATTCTGTGTTTTATTCTTTGAGGAGTGTTTTCCACAGTACTGCACCATTTTACATCCCTACCAGCAAGGCATAGGAGAAATTGGGCTCTAATTTCTCCACTTATTTGCCAACACCTAATAATTAAAAATATTATTTCTGTAATAGCCATCCTAGTGGGTGTGAAGTAGTATCTCGTTGTGGTTTTGATTTGCATTTCCCTAATGTTTAGTGGTGTTGAGCATCTTTTCATGAGTTTATTGGCCATCTGACTATTTTCTGTGGAGAAATGTCTGTGCTGTAAGGACGTATTTTTTGAGGATGTATTGGCCCTTGTCAAATCACTTCACGTCACCTGTCCCGTCACAAGCTCATACACAGTCATGTCAATTCCACTTCAAATATGGAAGAATTTGACCTTTCACCAATTTCTATGAATTGCATTATTTTGAAGATGAATTCAAAATTGTCACTTTGCACAGTGTACCTAATGGGACCATGTCAAGTGATTGTATAGTAAACAGATGTTAGAAGGGATTGTAGGGCCTTATGAAACTAACATCACAGAAGTCTTAGGAATTATCTAGAATATTGCCTGAGTGCTTACTGGTTCCTGAGTACCATGAAGCAGTTATTTGACTTTCACAAAAGCTTTAGGAGGTAGGTAGCATTACTTTCTCTTTCTACAAGTTTTCCATTTCTCATTTATAGAGAAAACTGTCTTAAGAAGGTAAGTATGCCCAGAGTCTCACAACTAACAAGTGTCTGACTTAAGATCTACCCTAGTTCCCTTGAACACTGAACTCCTAACATCTTGATTATCTTCTATATGTAGCATTTTCCATTTTAGTTCTTTCCTGCCCTCCTTTCTATATTTATTAGATATGCTGGAACTTAGTCATTTTAAAGAGAGAGAGAGAGAGAGAGAGAGAGAGAGAGAGAGAGAGAGAGAGAGAGAGTATTTATCAGTAATTATTTGTTTTAATATTTGGATACATTCAATCCTGCTTTTAGTTTTATTATTTCTGCCCTTTTCTATAATTTTTGTTTGTTTTCTAAATTCTTTGAGAGCTTAGTCCTTTTCCTTCTTTCTTTTTTTAGTGATGAAAATACTTAAGGCTACACATTTGCCTCTGAAAGCAACTTTGAACACATCCTGAAAAATCATATCTAGTGTTCTCATTTATTCTGTTTTATAAATACTCTGCTATTGCACATTTAATTTCTCCTTTGACTTCATAGTTAATTTTCTTTATTTCTAAGTGGTTGGGATTTTTGATGATCTTGATTAAACTTAATGTTAATTCCTAGTTTTATTGCTTGATGGCCAGGGTGATGGCCTGTTGTTTTCAGTTTAAGTCTGCATACAGTTACATCGCTATTCAGAAGTATATGCAGCTATAATAATGGAATTGTTGGTTTAAAATGAAAATGAAGAGGATTTGAAATCGGTGCTTAGACATCACTTAAAGTCTAACTTTGAGTTCTTCTTTCTCCAACTGATATGTTTTGTTCCTTTTATTGTTAATATAGAATATATAATCTCAGTAAAATTTTTAGGGCTCATTGCCAGTTTTGGTTTCTAAAGGAAAATGTTTCCAGTCTGTTCTGTAACAATTGGCACTCAAAGCCAGATACCAGTGAAAAAACGAAGAGGTGTTGTTAAGAGGAACAGTGGGACTTTCTAACAAACCCGTCAATGTTTAACAAATTTAATGAGCTTTTAAGAAGTTTTTTTTTCACACTTCTAATGTGAACCAGTTCATACTAAAATCTGTGGTTTTCCTGCCAAAGTTATCTTTAATAGAAAGCTGTGTACTTTTTTAGTCTTGGAGTGAAGTGAATGTGAGTAAGCCGGATGATTACACAGGAAATCGAATGTGGGAGGGGGAATCTTCTGAGCAGCTGTTCTGTTCATAGTCCCTGTGACAATCTTAGCCACGCCCCCAACATTTCCATGACAGTGTTTCCTTCAGTGACTACTTGGGTGTTGGTGACCCAGGTCAGTGAAATTTCCCTCTCAGCTGTTCTGGCTTCATCTAGGGATTGGTGGTATCTGTGCTGGGTTTCCAAGTGAGAAACAGAGAGACTCAGGAGGTAACTGGCCTTTGACTAGGAGATGCCGTTTGCATGTTAACATTTTCTTTTTCTATTTCAGGGGAGGCGGTTGACATAGATTCACTGGAAAACTTTGATTGCTACAGGTGGCCAGAGCGGAGCACACAGTCCCTGGGAGGTAAGATGGGCAGAAATACCAAAAAGGGAGTGGGACACAGCTCACTGGAAATAGCCCCCCAGCCGTTTTCGAATCTTTAATGTAACCATTTGTCTGCTCTTGGGTAACTGTTCCTGCTGGTAGAGTTTTCTCCAAACAGAAATAAAAATCCAGTAGGGAAAAATGATGGGGGAAATTTTTTCCCTTTTAAACTGTTCATAGTGAGAGGAAGAAGCACATACTGACAACTAAATGAAATGCTGCTGTGAGCAGACTCATCTAATACTGCTATTGGGTTGTTTGCTTAGCAAAGCACACAAAAGGCGCATTGCAGATATTCAGGTAATACCTGCCTTGAGTAATTTTTTTTTAATTGAAGTTGAGATTTTTTTTTTTAGATTTTTATTGGGGAATTGGGGGATGGGAACAGCGCTGGGGAATTGGGGGAAGGGGAACAGACAAGTTGCTGTTGTTTTGGTTTTCAGTCTAGTTGTGGAGGATGTTGCTTCACTGGCTCAAGTTGGCACCATCATTGCGCTCTTCCCGGGCGAGGCAGATCAGTCCCTGGCTTCTGGACGGCCGCTCACAGTGGCTGCTGGCTACACCGGTATCCCATGGTAGTCCACTGCCACAGGGGCTGCAGCCTACGCTGTCGCCGGTGACTCACGGCAGCCCAGCTCCAGGTTGAGCTGTTGTTCAGCATCTTAGCTGTGGAGGGCAGTGTCACTGGTCCTCATATGTGGGATCCGAACCGGGGCCCTCTGGCATCCCAGGCCAGTTCTTAACCACCGCGCCACTCGGCCGGCCCTGCCTTGAGTAATTTTATTCATGTATTCACTTAGTAAATGTTTAAGTGTTGTAAGGCTACCCTAAGAAAGTACTTACCAGAGAGCAGGCTCTTCTCAGTGTGATGTCCAGGTTCTTGGCATCTCGAGCAAAGAATTGAACGAGACACAGAAGTAAAGCAGTAAAAGAGCAGTTTATTCGAAGAGACAGTACACTTCAAAGAAACAGAAGCGGGCCTGAGTAGTAGAGAATGGCTCAAGGGCCATTATTAGAAGAGAAAGTACACTCCAAAGAGTTTGGAGAGGGCCGAGCAGAAAAAGGAGCTTGAAAGACCCTGACTGGCAAAATCTTGAAGTTTTTTTCTCTAGAATGGGCTGTTCCTCTCTGGGCATGGGACCACTTGATTGACACCTGTGATTGACAAGAGGCTATTACCTCGTATTTTTATGGGCCCAGCGTGCTTCCACTGTGTGACTTTGCTGCCTACCTCATCTTTTTAAGACTGCACAGATTCCTGTACTGCACAGGTGTGAGTGACTGGTCTAATCTAGTTGGGTATTTTGTACCCATTTGTTTCCCCACAGGGGTAGATAATTACAATCAAAAGGAGAAGTTTTGGGCGGAGAGGGGAGGTCTTTGGGGTGGTCGCATTCTGTGGGACCTGCAGGAATGCAGAGACCCAAGGCCTGCCTCAAACTGCCTGCCTTGTTTTCCCCTTGAGAGACATGATCCCCATGAAATCTCTATGGGAAGCTGAGGGACAGGAGGTCCCTTCTTCTGTATCTGCTTCCTGCTGGGCGGGGGTGTAGAGCTGTCCCTGCCTATTGGGGGATTCACGGACCTCTCACCCTAGCTGATCTCAGATGAGAGGAAGGGGTCTCGAGCTCCGCCTGGAAGACGGTGTTGGCTTCTTTGGTTGTGACTGGCAATCTTGCTGGGGTGTCCTCTGTATCCCCAAGGCCCCTGAATGAGGAAAAATAGATTTTAATTAATAAATCCGTTAGCTCTTACGATACCTGTGTCCATTCAGCCCATCACTCAGGTGGCCTCAATTGTCCAGGAGCTGGGCCCAGAATGGTCTTGGAAAGAATCATTAGGCTTACTGGCCTGGGGAAATGTTAAAACCTATTTAGTCTCTGGGATGGAATTGTCCAAGGGTCAGGTCCAGAATGGCTTGGGGATGTTGGGAAGTCACAGGCTTTTAAGTAGTTACCTGAAGCAGGGTTAGCAGATTTCTATGATTCAGAGTAAAAACAATGTGTTGTTTATGATTAGAAAACTGATTTATAAAACAATCAAGAAGCAGAGGATAGGAGACTTCTATGATTCAGGCTGGGAGCACTCTTTAGTGTAGGATTCACAAACTGAATAGAAGAGCAATCAAAGCCTAAGCAACTAGGGAGAAGGAGACTTAAAATTTCTATAGGAAAGAAAACTTAAAAGTTTTTTAGTGGGGGGGCGGGGGCTACTCACCTGGCCCGTAATAGTACCACAGACTGAGTGGTTCAAGCAACAGAAATGTATTATCTCACTGTCTGGAGGCTAGGAAATGGAGATCAAGGTGTCATCAGGGTTGGTTCCGAGGCTGTGAGGGAGAATCTGTTCTATGCCTCCCCCCGAGCTTTTGGTGCTTTGCTGGCAGTCATTGGTGTTTCTTGGTGTGTGGAAGCATTGCCCCGACCTTTGACTTCATCTTCACATATTTTGTGTATCTGTGTCTGTGTCCAAATTTCTTCTTTTTATAAGGACACCAGTCTTATTGGATCAGTGCCCACTCTACTCCGGTATGACCTCATCTTAACAAATTACATCTGTGATGACCCTATTTTGAAATGAGGTCACATTCTGAGGTCCTGGGGGTTAGGACTTCATATGAATTTGGGGGGAACACAATTAAGCCCATAACAGTACAGATTTATGCATCCTGTAAAAAGTTCACTGAGTGTCCATTTTGTGACAAGTATGGTATGAGGAATTGAGATTTAAATAAATATGAAATTAATATTTCCTGTCCCAAGTCACTTACATTAAAGTAGGAGAGATGTGTAATCAAATAACTGTAATCTGGTGGTGCTATGGTAAAGGTATATAGAAGGGATTGTGGTACCAAGAAGGGGAATGCTTAAGTCTACTTGCCGGGGAGAGGTCAGGGACAGTTCCCTGAAGGGACAAAATCTGAGCTGGATCTGAAGTAATTCAAAGAGTTCACTAGACCACGGGAATTCTGGACAGAAAGAGCAACATGGAAGTCGGGGACAAGATGGCGCATTCATGGAACTTTAAACCATCTTGTGGGAGGGGTGTCGGATGCACTATGGAGGTGATGAGTGGGCACTGGAAAGTTTTTAGTGTTGGAGTCACACAATCAGACCTGTAGTTTTGCAAAGCTCTTCTGATTGACAGCATGGAGGCTGGAGTGGAGGTGGTTAAGTCTAGAGTTTGTGAGATGCAGCATGGCAATGGGCATGGGCCTGGTGTCTGCGGCACGGCATGGCTTCTGAGGCCCTTCATCTTGAAAGGAGGAATGGAATTCAAGATGTCTGTGGGATGTTGAGTTGGCATTTGGACTTGGAATTAGGCAAAAAGAGTGGAAGGACAACATGAATTGCGTGTATCATCATGGAAGTGAATAAGGGAGACGGTGTCAATCAGAAGAGAGGGTCAGAGGCACGCCTGAATTTTAGGGACAGACGAGGAAGAAAAGCCAACAAAGGAGGATCAGAGGGAAAAATCCAGGAGGTGGGAGGAGAACCAGATGAGCACACCATAGAAGCCAAGGACCATGGTGGTGACAAGAAGCTTGGGCAGAAACGCCCAACATCACAGGTAGGTCACGGAAGACGCAATGAGAAATTGGCTGTTGCAAGCCAGGAATTGGGCTCTCACCAGAGGCTGCTCTGCTGTATTGTGGATAGGGCAGAGAGGACGCCTGACTCATCAATCTACAAAGCCTGGAGACTGCCTGGGGAGCCCCTGATGATGTTGGGGCACTGGAATTCCTCACCAAAGAGGAAGCCCCAGGCACCTCTAAACCTCTGCATGCAGACCCCAGCCCCTCGCTCGGCAGTGACCCATACAGTGACCCACACAGTCCAGGGCAGGTGGTGCAAATGGTCACAGCTGAAGGACACCTCCTGTTGGGCCTCTGTTGAGCTGCCACAGGGAGCCCAGTAAGAGTAGAGGGTATGACATTTTTTAAATGGGAGAGGGTTGAAATAGAGTTGACGGTGTATTTTGTTAAGTAGGAAAAATTTAAAAAATTGTCAGCACTATCACCACCTTTTCCATAGAATTAAAAAATATATATATATCTTACCAAAAAGAGTGGCGAAAGTGTGCAGCTCACAAACGTTCTACTCTACTTGACCCCAGCCCTGACTCCTAGGCCCTAGCTCAGAAGATAAAAACAAGAACAACAGATATTCTTAGAGTGACCGGAAAAATGGGGGTGACCTCATCCAGTGCCTTTGGATATCCACTGTGCCATCTCCCCTCCTCTCAAATTGCTGCCATCATTACCGTATTTTGCTGTATAATGTGCTCCCATGTCTTTGGCCCAAGCTTTCAGGGGAAAAAAATCTTCCGTTCTAATTTTTTAATTCAAATTTTTAATTGTTTACATTTAGGTACTTGTTTTTTGTATTACAAAGGAATTTTAGCATATTTTTAACCATAGTGTGGTACAAGACATTTTATGTAACAGATAATTACAAAACACAAGAACAGATACAAGGTACAAGAAATTTTATGTACGGTAACAAATTTACGATATTTATGTATCATAGAAGGCCAAGAACTCTTTGTCCTCGCAAGTTTGTCGTAAGCTCAACAAAACCGATTATCGTATTCCAGGGTATTATTTTGCATATGGATATCGTTGTTGATTTCTAGCGTTACACTTTTAACTCATAAGCATAAATAAAAGAATTAAGAACATTTATATAGATACGGAATTAGTACTATCCATGTATAATGTGCATCCTTATTTTTCTCTCACAAATTGGGGCAAAAAAGTGTGCATTATACATGGCAAAATATGGTAGCTTTGAAATGTGACCACCAGGTATGTGGGCCTGTAGGAGACCCTTCATGCCAGAGCAGGACTTCTAAACTGGGGTCTCATACCTCGGATGGGAAAAAAATTGCATTCTATTTTCACGAACCTTTAGCTCAAATTTAGCACTTCCTTCCGTTATGATGACGGGCAATGCATTAGTTTCGTAGGGCTGCCAATT